GTCTCTTCAGGGAGCAACAATATGTTAAAATTGGGATTTTTGTTTTGCTTTGGATGAATAAGGACTAAATTAGAATTTCTTTTGTTATTTAAAACAAGAAGGAAAATAATCAGGCATCTAATAGTGTTAAAAATTAGGTTACACAACCAGCATACAACTCATGGGAAGAAATAAATTATACCTTCTTAAAAGGAAATTGTAAGAAATAGTAAAAACTTCAGAGCTATTTTGTTGACTTATAACATATCCAAAATGCACAAATAGTAAGTGTAGAACTTTAAGACTTCCAAACCCCTGGCTTGAATCTGTCACTTCACTTACCAGTTTGTCAGGTCGATGAAAGAAGTAGGTAATATATGGCAAGCTGTGGACTGACTGTTATTATACCTCGTACTGTTTGCTGCAACCACATATTGTCACTAGTTTTTTTCCCCGTAGGGCTGTGTCACCATCCCATGTGTGTCACATTGACTCTTAAGATGACTCTAAGACCTTTGTCTCCTGGGGACACCCCTGTGTGATTCCTTCCCTTAAGTGTAGGTAGGACCTATGGTGTGCTTCTAACCAACCACATATGAAATGATGGGATATGCATGACTGTATGGATGTGATTAATTAAATAAGATTGTAGGGCCTGTCTTGCTGGAGTCTCTGTCTCCCTTGCTAGCTTTGAAGAAGCAAGCTGCCATGTTGGAAAACCCCATGTGGCGAGGAGCTATGAGCAGCCTCTAGGAGACAACAGACAACAGACAGCAAGAAATTGAAGTTCTCGGTTCTACAACTACAAGGAACTGAACGGAGCCAACAGCTCCTATGAACTTGGAAACAGATCCTTCCTGGCTGAGCCTCACATGAGATAGTAGCCCTGGCTGATATCTCAATCGCATCCTTGAGAGACCCTAAACAGATCCCCTAGCAAAGCTGTGCCTGCACTACTGGCCTGCATAAGTTGTGAGATAGTGAACGTGTGTTGTTTGAAGCTGCTAAATTTGTGGTGATATTGAAATCTAGAAGTGCCCACATTCTCTCTTCCTACTGACACTGATAATTAGAGAATCCTAAAAGACAGATCTTCATACCAAGATTATTAAAAGCTGCCAACACTATAGGTCTCAAATGTCCATCTCTGGTCTAGTCTATAGTCCAGTAAATAGAGCCCAGAACTTGGGACAAAAGAAGGCTTATTAGGTTGAACCATATGAAATTGCCATTTCAGTGACTGGCTTGTGGAATGTCAGAAATTCCACAAATTTAGGCTCATCTTGATTCTTTTAGTAATAGCAATTTGGCTTTGAGTAAGTCACTTTATTTCATTGTTCCTTCTTTCTTCATCTATCAGATCACAAATAATAATAACTAAGATGTGTTAACATTTTTCCTACTGTATCTTACTCTGCCCTCATAATTGCCTACAATAGGTATTAATTGCCCCATTTTTTCAGATGAGGAAATTGAGGCTTGGAGAGGCAACATAATCTGTATAAAGCCACACAGTAGTACAGGTAGGATTCAGTTCTATCTAAGCTGATTTTAGAGCTCACTCTTTTGGCTTCATTATGCCATAATTCTTCCCTTACAACAACACTATAATGAGATCAAACAGAGTAAGGCTTTATAGCCAGACAGATGTGAGTTTGAATTCCAGTTTCAATCCTGTGTGTATTTGGAAAAGTTACTTTACCTCTCTGGGCCTCAGTTTACTTGTCTAAAACACGTGGATAATAGTAGCTACCTCATAAGTTTCTTTTGATAATCAATTGAGATTACACTGCAAGCAAAGACCATAGTAAACATTCAAAGAATGCTTGCTGTTTTTTTACCAATATTGTGAGGTCCAAAATGAGTTTAAATAAATGAAAGCTTTTTCTCTTTTTTGTGGGGAAGATTGGCCCTGCATTAACATCTATGCCAATCTTCCTCTCTTTTGTATATGGGATGCCGCTACACCACAGCTTGATGAGCGGAGCATATGTCTGCGCCCGGGATCCGAACCTGTGAACCTCCGGGCCGCTGACGTGGAGCATGCAAATTTAACCACTACACCACTGGGCTGGCCGCTGAAAGCATTTTTGATTTAGAAAGCTTGGTATAGTTGTTAACATTTATTGTAAGCGTGCAGTCCTTAACTATTTAGAAAGTAAAGAGCTACTTCTTATAAAATTAGTTTGAATCATCATAAGGACCAATTAATCAAGTAGTAGATCCAAGAGAATTGGCCAAAGAAAGAAAATGAGTAGAGCATTCAACTGTTACCAGAGCAGATGAACATTTTGTAAGCAAAAATACATAAAGTTTTGATCTGGTTAAGCCCCAGACCAGAATAAGCATCCTGGAACTTTCTAATGATCATGACCACCAGAGACCACACTTTCTTTCTCTCTCTCAGTTTATAGTTAGTTGTGTAGGCAAGGCTTATCAGACAATTTGGAGGGAGAAGGGTTACGAGCAGGGGAGTGACATCATCTGACTTGAGTTTTAAAATAACTATTTCTTGGGTTGAGAAAAGACTGCAGGCAGACAAAGTTGGAAACAGGGCGGCAGAAGATTATCATAATCATCTAAGAAAGTCATGGGCTAATGTGGGGTCGGAGAGGGGGTGAGAATTGTTTGAATTCACTTTAAAGGTAGAGCAGTAGGATTTGCTAACGGATTACATAGGGAGGAGGAAGGAAGATAAAGAGGGAGGGAGGAAGGGGAGAGAGAGAAAGAAACAGACAGACAGATGGATGCAAAAAGAGGGAGAGGTATCTTAGATTTTGGTCTGAGCCACTGGAAGAGTGAAGTTCCTATTTACTGAAATGGGGAAAACTGCTGGAAAGCAGAGTCGAAGAGGAAGATACGGTGTCCATGTTAAGTTTTAGATGCCAATTAATGCTCATGTAGAGATCTTAAACAGGCAGTGGAAAAGGTGCGTATGGATCTCAGAGGAGGGTCTAGGTTGGAGGTGAACATTTGGAGGTTGTCATGTATAGATAGATGGCATTTAAAGTCAGGAGACTTGATAAGATCTCCGAGGGACTGGAGAGATGGGAGATGTGATGCTGGCTGGGAGCAGGGCGGGAGAGGTGGAAGTGGTGGGAAGAGGTTGAATCGTAACCAGAGTTACTGCCGGGCGGATAAAGCTGTCAGGACATGACTGAGGTTTTTTTGACTTGAGGAGTGGGAGGATGGAGCTGACAGTTCCTGAGATGGGGATGACTGGAGGAGGAGTAGGTGTAGGCGAGTTAATCAGGAATTTGATTTTCGACTCATTAGGATGGGGGTGGCAGCTATAGTAGAAGATAGAGCAGGATAGTTGTGGGGCAGCAAAGCTGAACGGTAGGGAGCTGGATAAAGTGGTCCATAAAATAGGGTTCATTCTCCTTTTAGTTTGGAGGGGAATTCAAGTATCCTTTTTGTCAAAGCCTGCGTGTGCCACTACATGGCAAGGGGCAGAGGATATCATTTTCCTCTTACCTGGGGGAGCCCACCAGCAGGTCTACAATCTTCCAAGTTGAGACTCAAGCAAGTGAAGCTCAAAGAAAGACTGGAGGGCCCTTTCCTGCTTGATTTCAGGCCTACCTTCCCAGTTCCACTTTCTTTCCCTCCGAAGACTGACGCTGGGAATCCCTACCTACACCCAACCCAATTTTGGGGTGACTCTGCTACTTTCGTAAGGGATGCAGGGCATCATGGCTGAAACCAGGGGGCAGAAACTGTGGTCCTTGGGCCAAATCTGACTCAGTGCTTACTTTTATAAATAAAGTTTTCTTGGAACACAGTCATATCCATTCATTTCTGGCTGCTTTCATGCTCTAACAGCAGAGTGGAGTGCTTGCAACAGAGAGCATATGGCCTGCAAAGCCTAAAATATTTACTATCTAGCGCTTTACAGAAAAAGTTTGCCAACCTCTTACCTAACTAGTACGTTTGAATTCAAGCTGTTTGCCCTAAAATTTTTCCATGAGATGTATACATCCACATACAGAAGCAAAATGGTTATTTGATTTTGTACTCAAACTCCAAACTCAAGGGCAACAGAAGAGATAAGTCACCCAAGTTAGGATTCACTGAGCTCAAGGTATTTTTGAGTGGAGAAAAGTTTAAGCATGCCTTTCTGGGAAGCAGATATATTTGTGCTGGTGCCTCTTTTCAAAACCCAGGGCCAGTCTTAATGTTTACCCCGGTATTCCTGCAAAAGTCCCCGTCCTCCACAGAGTTTGTTGACATTATCAAACTTACTCCTTGGAAATATCTGTTAGAGATATGGTGTGTTTGTGCTGGGTTACTCCTTATTGGAAGTATTCTGAAATCTTACAAAGTAAAGAGTTGAAAATGTCTTCATCAGTTACAGAATAATATATTGGCCTCAGTATGCGTGTGTACATGTGCTGGTATATCTGTAAGTGTGTGTGTGTGTAGGTGTGTGGCAGAGTATGGAGGAAAACGAAATATGGGGAACAGTTGGGTAAAGGCAAAACCCAACTGGCTCAACTATTTTGAGATTCGGAGACATCTAATACATCCAAACTTTGGAAAACACTCTATGACAATTTGTTGTAACATAAAAAAAAGAGAAAAGTCACAGTGGAGTTTCATGTTCAAAATATAAAACTACTGTCATTATCATAGATGACTTCAGCATTGGTGAACCTTTCAGCTAATCTGGCCTGTGGGTCTTGAGTCCTCTGCAGTTGTGCATATGCACAGACATACCCTGGTCCTTGTCATCACTTGGAACTACTTGACATGTACATTATGAATAGTAATCAGTCCAAGATGTGCAAATATGGGAGTTTCTTCCTTAGGGCCAGTGAGCTCCCTGGCTTGGGGGATGTTGAAACAGAGGATGGGCAGGTCTTCATCAAAGATTCTACAGATGTCACTCTACCATTGTTTAGCAGATAGTTGGTGCTAAAAAAAATTCACTGAATGATAAAAACGAAGGGAGTTAGATTAGATAACTTTTAAAGTCTGTTTAAGCCTCTCCTCTGATCCTGACCCAGTGAAATTTTTTACAGCGTTTTAAATTTGACCAAGACCACAGAGACGTTCACCAACTCCATTTCCTTTTCTGGGCACACAGGAGGCATTTCTCAGCCTCCCCTGCAACCTGAGAGATCTTTCTTGTTCTCTCTGCTTCCATGGCTACGAGAAGGCCAGTGCTGAAGATCTTGGTGTCACAAGATGGAAGGAGCCTGGATCCCTGAGTTACTCCTTGGAGGGGAGCAGCCAAGCAGAGTTGCCCACTTGGTCTGGACTGTGATGTGAGTAGAAAATGAAACTTCCGTTTTGTTGATACCACTCAGATTGGGAGTTGTTTGTTGCGGCAATTGCTGTTGGTTTTCTTTGTTGATGCATTTGTACTACACGGCTAAATTAGATAAAAATAACTAAATTTGGGAAAAGGAACACGTTGAGTTGAAAAATTACTTTCTATAGAGCAATAAAAATGAATGAAATACAGTCACATGCATCAAGACAGAAACATAATGTTGGGCAAAAACATATTTACATAATATAAATCACACATGAATACATTCCATATGATACCATTTATATAAAGCTCCTATACAAACAAAGCTAAACAATGAGTTGTTTGGTAATACAAACATGTGGTAAAGTTGAAAAAGCAAAATGCACGATAACATTAAGCTAGGGGAAGGTAGGCGGGAATGCTAGTAGGGAGAGGAACATAAGAGTTAAAAATTCTTGGCATGTTCTATTTCTTAAACCTGGTTGGAAGAACATTGGTGTTTATTTAATTATTCCTTGTAATCTAAATATTTATTACATGTATTATTTTGTATATATGAAAAGCATTATGGTGGAGTCATATCATTTGCACAGCTAACATCAATTCATTCATACATGTATACTGGATAATCAATTATACATAATTACATGCCATAATATTCAATTACGATTGGCACAAATATGCTTGATTGTGTGCTGCATGTTACTGCATACATTGCAAATTTAGACACATTGCTGTAGAAGACTGTGTATAAAAAACCTGGAACCTGGGTAATTTAATGGATTTTAAAGATAATTTTGACCAAATGCATGTGTTTTCTTAATTGCTCGCATGGGAACCTAAACCTTTGAGGAGATGCCATTTTGTTGTATGACACAGATCACACTAGGGAAGTGTTTCCCAAACTGGGGTCCCCGGATCCCTACAGGTTCATAAGCTAGTTTTGGAATTCTGAAAACTTAGGAGTAATTCTTCATCTGCTTGCAGTAAGTTCACCTAAGTCAATAGGTCACTGTGTCTGTTTTAGCCTGGAATGAAACAACTCAGGCTGGTTACAGTGCTTACATATTTCATGCTGATTAGAAGTACTGGCTAGCAATTTATCTGTCTTTGATTAATTAAACATGGGAAAAACCAATTTGTTACTAGTCTCAGCTTGGAGGACAAAATTTATCAAAGCACGAGGCCCATGGGAAGAAATTAATAAAATGAATCCCTGCTGGTGAAAAGGTTTATAATCAGTGTCCTATATTAATTCAAGTTCATTTTGTGTTCATTCATTTATTAACTCATTCATTTATTCAACCAATATTTGCTGAGTGCCAACTCTATGCCAGACAGTTCTAAGCACAGGGGATCCCATGGTGAATAAATCTAACATCTTTGCAGTTAGTGGACTGTTTGTGCTCCCCTACCAATTCATACGATGAAGTGCTAATCCCCAGGGTGGCTGTATTTGGAGAAGGAATCTCTAAGGAAGTAATTAAGGTTAAATGAGGTCATAACAGTGCAACCCTGATCTCATAGGATTAGCATCCTTCTAAGAAAAGACCCCAGGGCTCTCTCTCCCCATGCACAGATAGAGGAGAGGCCATGTGAGGGCAGAGCAAGAAGATGGCGCCTGCAAGCCAGGAAGAGAGCTCTCACCAGAAACTAGATTGGCTAGAATCCTCATCTTAGACGTCTAGTCTCCAGAATTTGAGAAAATAAACCTCTGTTGTTTAAGTCACCCAGTCTGTGGTATTTTGTTATGGCAGCCCGAGCTGACTAAGACGCCTGTCCTTGTAGAAACAATAGGATCATGGGGGGGTCTTAGCATAAGTAGTCAGTATTGTTGATGATGGGAAGGGAACCAACATGCCCGTTGGGAGGCGTATAATGTAATGGTTCAAAACACTGCTCATGAGGTCCGACAGGTCTAGGTCTCTGTCCCTTCTTGGTCATTTAATAACTTGAGAACTTTGGGCAAGGGACTTAACATCTTGAAGGCTCAATTTTCCCTTCTGTAAAATGGGATAGCAGTGTCTACCTCATAGGGTTATTGCAAAGAGTAGATGGGCTTGTAAAACACTTGACACAGCCCCTGCACGTCAAAAAGCCTTGATGTGTGAGCTGTCTCACGTCAGCTCACGTATCTCATTTAATCCTCACAACAAACCCGTCAGGTGAGTGTTGGCTATTTTCTTCATTTTGGAAACATAAAAACTGGGATCAGAGGGGTTGGACAACTTTCCTTAGGTGATACAGGTCCTCAAGAGAGGAGCTGCTGGAACTTGGACCCAGGTCTGCCCAGCTGCCAAGCCTAAGTTAACCGTCTTCACTGCCTTGTGCTCCCCTGTGAATCCAAAATGAGACAGCCCAAGGGCGGAGCACTTATCTTTTATGCTGAAAGATCTGATATAGCCCTCTCCTTCCAGATCTATGATTCTCAGCTGTGCATGGGTAGGGGTGATGAAGTTGCCCTAGGGAAGTATTTCACAGCCTATGGAAGATGGTGATAGCCAAAGTTTGAAAAGGAATATACTTTCTTTGACTTGATTTTATGAAGAAAACGTAATATCTTAGTATTGGCTTTATCAACTTCATAATTTAATTTGAAATATCAAATTAGGAAGGAAAAGAGAGGTTTCTGATTATGCAAAGAGGGCATGGTTTAAAAAATAGATTAAGACTGTTCTCTGGGGTCTCCTCAAGGCCAGGTCCATGTCTTGGCTTCTTTGCAGCTGCTAGGCCTAGCCTGGGGGCCTTCTAGGAAGCTTCTGTGAAACTGCAGGGGGTCTTAAGAAAATTATGGCTTTAGCATAGCTGACAGAACATGCGTGTTAATAAAGATATTTGCTGGACTAGCATGTGTGTGGCACTGGGTAGGAGCAGCTGCCTCTAATATTCTAGTTAGTCTGCTCCCAGGTGAGCAGTAGAGAACTATATTTTTGCCAATTATCATAACGAATTAGTTGAATTCTCAGTAAAAAGTCTTCAAGGCAAAAATCATTGGTTTCCACTGTTCACAAGGAGTTATTGAATTGTATTACATGTGATGGTTATTCCACGACTCACAGCAAAGAGACCAGGAAACTTCCTGGCAACATGACTCCCCTCGAAACGCTAGCTCCATAAAGGGAACTGAGGATAATAGGCAGGAAGTGAGTGGGTGTGCAGGGCATGAGGCCTCTGCTTTGGGTGGAAAGAGAATGGCAGGAGCAGGATTCCTTCAGCTATGGAGACTCCAGGAGCGCAGGGCACCTGGGATCTGTTGCCTCGTAGGCGGGTGCAGAAGGTGCAGACGTCCCAGCAGCTCACGAGGGCAGTGCAGGCGTTGCTTGTGAAGGTGCAGTGATGCCTCTGAGCACACAGACCCAGGACTAGAAATTCAATCTCACAGGACTAGGACATGTCAATGTGTCCAAAGTCACAGCAGCTAGTTTGGCTCAGGAAAGAGAACCCAGACCCTGGATTCCAGCTCAGTGCTTCTTTTTCTTTGTCATCAGTTCTTCAGCTTCCAGGAAACTCTGTGTCAGAACCCCTAGAAAAATACCTATGTCTCAATTCTCATTCTATCATTCTACGTGAGTTGGTAGCCAGGCAGGAAAACAGGACCATGCCAGGTGGGCAGTTGAGGGATCTAGTCAAAGGGATGTTTAGAGAAAGGAAAATGGGAAAGTGAGGCAACTCAGAGGTTAACAATTGTAGGAAATTGGCTTTACCCCTGGGGCTGAGACTAAGCGAGGAAAGAGTATGGGCAAAACCCAGGAGCTGGTGCCCTCTGGCAGGAACTGTAATCTTGGCGGAGGGACCAACGAGTGAACACTGGAGCCAAGGGGACGGGGGCGTTGCCTGGAGGATGCTGGACTACAGAGGAATTATGGCCATGTGGAGTCACCTCTCAAAGTGGAGAAGAGAAGTATTCTGACTTCTCTACTCTATCCTCCAGATTTCTTCCCAATGCTTTCTGTTGGACAAAACTACTGAGAAACTAGTGGGCAAGAGAGGCTAGAAGTGTAGTTTGCAGGGATCAGAGCAGAGCAAGGAAAGGGAAAGAAATGGAGCTGAGAAAATAGGCAAATGAGCCTCCGACAACCCACTTGTCCTTATCCTGAGGGTTCTTTAAAGAGTTAACTTTCAGATAGAGGGGTGGGTGGAACATCTGTGAAAATTAGAAGGATAACCCTAGAATCATTGAGTCATATAGTCATGGGTTGGGATAATAATAACAGTAATGACATGTGTATGGTGTGCCATGGAGCAGAATGGCACATTAGAATGAGCACAATTCTGGTTAGGCTCTTTCACTTACTAGGAGTATGACTATGGGAAACTAAGTCAACTATTGCGTTTTCTGGCTTACTTATCTGCAAAATGCAGACAATAAAACCTTCCTTGCAGAGCTTCTGCAATTTATCAACAGTAACATTAATACAGAGCACTCTTAACTATGTTTGGCATATGCAGATATTCAGCAAATAGCCCTCAGGCTTCAACAGGACCAGCCTCCTATAACCCTTAGAGGAAGTGAAGGTCCTTTTACATAAATCCTTGTATATATTTATACAAGCACTTCTTCCATCAATTTATACTCGTATCGGCAATGTTTGATGAGTGGCTATTTTCATACATTTACATTAATTGTGGGTACTATCATTTTAAAATACCTTTATGTTGACTGCTTTTTGGGGGGTTGTATTTGTGGCCATTGACTTGGGTGAGCTGAGATAAGCATAGAGGCAAAAAGAGGGTTAGCTTGACCATCGGTAAAAATTGAAGGAAAGGATAAAGACAGTATCTGGAGTGGGATATAGGCCGCTCATCTATTCATTCATTATTTTAATATTTTGACGTCTCTCCCATGTGTGGAGCACTTGTCTCAATATGACCTTCTCGAGAAGATAACAATAATAGCTTTCTTTTCTCTAGTGTTTATTATGTGCCAGGCGCTGTCCTAAGTGGTTTAAACTCAACTCTCACAATAACCCAGTGACATAGTTTCTATTATGACCCTCATTTCACAGACAA